GTATCAGTTCTTCATGATCGACTTTATCTTCATTAATAGTATTTTCTTCATCTTGAGATATTTGATCAGATAATACATCTGAATGAAAAAAGAAATATATCAAGTGTAAATAAATAAATTCTACAGGTTTACCTATCGGTACAGTTTTTGAGATAACTTGTTCATTTATAAGACATTTTTGACGTGATTGTTCTTTATTAAGAATATCATTAAAGATTTTTTTCAAACATGATAATAATTTATCTAATTATATTATTCAATCTTTATCATAAAGAAAACATGAAAAAATTTTAACAAACCTGCTTTTTTGACAGTATTAATACTATTCTTAACAATATTCATTGGATCTGAAAAAGATAACAAATTAACTGAAGAAATTTTAGATATGAAAAGAAAAATAACATACTCTTTTCATTACTATCATAAAATGAATGTATATCATCTGGTGGTCCAGCTGGAGTAAAATTTTTGATATCATCTTTCCAACAAAACGGTGGAGTAAAACCATATAAAAATGCATCATATAATGTACATGTTAAATTATCGACTATTGTTATTGCAGATATTGTCTTTAATATGTCTTTGACATTTGACTCTTAATGTTTATACCGAATATTATTTAAAAGAAAATTTTCTAAATGATTCACCTACTATTATCTTTTACAGAACTATTGATTTTATCATCAATAATAACATTTTCTTCTTTCATGATAAAATCTATAAAATAGATTGATAAGAAAAAATGAAATAAAATATTCTCTTCTTCTATACCTTGATAAGTATTATTTAATGCCATAAGCATTAGCTTGTCATGTATTTGTAAACATTCATTACTTGATAATACGATGTTCGGATTATATTGTTTATAGTCTTAACAGATGATAGAGAAAAGTAATGAATAAGAGATTTTTTTCAGAGGTACTTACAAATACAAACACCGAGACACATAAGAAATATACAAAAATATCTTCCATTGATCAATTCTACGAAAATGAATTGAAACAATCACTATATTGATCTTTTCTTTTTTAATTTAAAAATGAAACTCACTCTGAATCTTAAGAAATAATAGTTCGACTAAAATAGAAAATAAATAATAAAGAAATAGATACAAAAGAAAACCAAAATATAAAGAAAGAACCTGAATGACAAGGTTGAGTTTGTCCAAATCTCACATTATTTTGATTATGAGTGTGTACAATGCGCATATCTGTTTGTAGGCCTAATAATTTCGAAAATGTTTCAATGAGAATATATTTTTGTACAATAAATAAACACATACTTCCAGCCTGTACAGCTGGATCAAATGGTATTTCAGTAACTGTTTCAGAATATTCTGTAAAAATAAAAAAGAAACAAATAATTAACTTTTAATCTAAAATACTCTGATCATTAAATGAATATCTTTCAAGTGATTAGGATAGATTATCTGAAAGACTTATTCAATTAAGTTTCATCGAATTTTTTTATTAAAGACTAAATTCAAATATAAATTCATTATACTAACTATCCGTGGATTCATTTATTGTGTTTTCATCATGATCATTCATATTATGTTCATCATTTGTATCAATCATATAGATTAATGGAACATTAAACATCGACATAATGGATATTATAACAATATAAAGATTTTGAAAAAGACGATGAATTATTGTATCCATTGATTCGAATTGTGTTTTCTCCAAAAAAGGATTTTTTTTTTATCTGAAAATAATCGAAAACCTTCGATAAAATCGAATCAAAATATTTTTTCTTATTTTCAAAAATTACTAAATACCTAGTAATTTTTCTTGTTAATTCTATACGAAAATTATTTCAGCAGACATTTGCCGAGACTAGTAAGAGTCTAAAAAGGTTCGTTTTCATGAAATATTGAAGCCAGATTATAACCAAATCTATTAGACTTTCGACTCATGTTCCCCCAAAACCGTGTAGCGGGATTTCGATCCAAAATTTAGTCTATCGATAGATTTAATGATTCGTAGAATATCCTAAAAGTTTCAATCGAAAAGGACATTTCGAAGTCAAGTGATTCAATTTTCAAGTGAACTCAAGTTTTATTATACTGGTAGATGTTCACACACACATCTCATACCACGCTTTTTACTAAGTATTGTCCAAAAAGAAAATTTAAGCAGAGTGAGCATTTAGATTCAGCTAGGAACATTGGTGATTTTATCGTAAGTAAATGAGTCACTTTTATTTATATCAATAAATATGAGGCTTCAAATTCAATGTTATTTTTAGCTTTTTACATTGAATACTTTTTCTTTTTCCTTTCTATCATACCATTTTTTCGTTCTATCGGAAGAAAAAAAAGACGCTAAACACGTGGTTTTATATGACTCAAAGAAAATAGAACGTAATCATATGTTGTTTTTTTTTTTGATTATGGTTTTTCTCAATAATCTTAATGATAGAAACATGTTAGATATTCACCAGAAATGTTAATATTTATTATGAAATTGTGATCTGCGGTGTTTAAGATAATAATGTTTTTTCATAATTTTGAAAGCTTATAGGTTGATTTTTCAGTCCAGAAAAAGAAGATTGTACCAAATTTTGTCGAGAATTATAAATTTTTGATGTTTCAGATGCTATAAGGAAAATCTTTTTTAATTTTTATTTTCATGGAAAAGAAACTAAGAGAAAAAAGTATGAAGAACTAAAATAAAAATACGTAAAAAAAACAAAAAAAGAAAAAAACAACTTTAACTTATCTACTAATAGTTAGTCGTAATCGATAGAAATACTAAGTATAGTGAAGCTTGTTACTATTTTGATTGAATAGAAAATGAGAAAATAAAAATATCATTGTCGATGACAGACCCATATAAAATGTAATCACTAACGCATACCTGATCTAGGATATTCATCCATATACCTTCTATAGAAGTTGGTTTGCTTTTTCTTTTCTTTCTTATCTAATCGTTGTCATTGTATTGCTAGTCGACGTCAACGTTCTGTCATCGAACCATAAAAAAAGAAATAAGATCGTAATGATTATTAAAAAAAGTCTAAGAATCGTTCTGTCGACCTTCACTTTTTTTTTCTCATTCGCATAGTCTTACATTTTTGTATAATCACTGTGTATGTTAGTTGTTAATGACACTTCAACAAAGAAAAACAAAAATCTGTGGTGTTGATAACGATATTATTTCTAGTAATATTTCTATTGATCATGAGTCATTCTTTTTCTAAAGAAACGAAACATTGACGACATTATTTAATCACGTGTTTTTAATGTCAAACAGCTTTTTTTTTTATATAAGTAGTAATTTAACATATATTTAGGTTAGACAGGAGGATTCCTAGATTAAATGTACATCAATGTCTAACAAAGATTGTGTAAAATATAAAACAAAACAAAAAAAGCTTTTGTATCTTACTGATTTAAATCGAATAACTGGTTACATTTTTGATCGTCTATACATAAAAAGAGTATCATGTCTTAATTACTAACTTATCTAATCATGAACTCAGTTAATTACTAATTTAGCGAATAATCTGTCACAGTCCCATATATACTAAGTATAATTAGCAGTAGAAAATTTTTAATAAAAATAAATATCACCTCCCAGTTGAAGAATGGCAAATTTTGGCAAAAATTTATATGAAGTGTAACCTCTTGAAATCCAGCTTGAGGTGATCCAAGGTAATAGTGTGAAGTAACAGAGGATAAACAAAGATGAACAAAAGTTTACCAATGTATTGAATAAGTAATGAACAAGCAAAAAGAGATAGAATCACATAATGTGAAACAATGAAGAAATAGATAGAATAAGCGAAAGAGGTAAGAAATGTCAGATGGTAAAGGCAAAAATGCGTATTATTGTCAAAATGAATCAAACGCACCGGCAAAATGACATCTTACATAAAGAACATTAGCAAAAAAAAACGAGAAAGAAAAAAATAAAACAGATACGATACAGAAAAGAAAAAAAAACTCGCAAAAAAAAATGTAGCTTCTACAGAACAATCAAAAATTGAAAAAAAAGATGATGCCTAGAGTGTGATACACTTCCTACTCTCTCTACTCATTCACCTCTATTTCGAATATATTTTCCCTCGAAAAAAAAATTCAACGCTTCAAAGCAAAACATGTCATCAGTTGTTATGCAAAAGCGCTTATTTCATTTATTTGTAAGAGAAAAAAAAGAAAAGCTAGCGAAAGAACATACAGTAAAAATTCGTGTTATAATCGATGCATTCTATGTAATCATCATCATAAAAAGGGATACGTCAAGCTCATTTAACCGGATATCTCAGTTTCAGAAAAAGCGTTTTTCCATATAACTGACAAAATTTTGGAAAACTTTATTCGATTTATTTCATCTTAATATTAAGTGAGAAAAAAAACAATTGTAGTCATTAATAGATAAAATTAGATCAAATCAATAATTATCAATAGGATTGGAATCATTTTTCAAGATTTCAATAAAAAAAAGTAAAAAGTAAATTTTATTAAAAACTTTGATGAAATGTCGATGACAAAGAAAAATAGACTACATAATTACGTCATCATGTCAAACCTTGAAGTTGCAACGTGGTCTCCTACTTTACTCTTTATTTTTGTTTTGTTCTGTTTGAAAATATGAAAGAGAAAAAGAGCAGAAAAAAAATTGAAACAAAATGTAGAGAGTATATCTAGATTAAATAAAGTAGATTTCTTGAAATCTTAATAATGAAATTAATTTTCAAATTAATCAATATATCTATCAAATTTTTAGAAAATAAAAATAAAATGGTGTAGAACTTAAAAACTACTCTATTTAAGAAAATATATAAATTCACTTACCTGAATTACAATTGATATTGAATCATTGGTTTAGAATGAACTTTACTTACATATATACCTTTTATGGGAAAATATAAAAGACCTTGAAAAATTAAATAACTATTAAAGCTTGTTCTGTTCTTTTTACATTTATGATCTTAGACAGTTAGCAAGAACGTAGTAAGAAGAGATTGAATCTTATAAATTCTATATTATTTACTACACAACAAATTGTTATACTATTTCAATTGATTCTCTCAATGACTACATACATATAATATTTCACTGTTAGAATTTATTTGGATAAGATTCAAATATTAAACGTAAAACTTTACTTGATATTATCAAATAGATTTTGGACTAACATAAAAATATCAATATGTTGAGTAATACAATATGTTGATTTTAAACTGAATGTAAATCAAAACGTACAAAACTGAAATAGCAACAAGGATACATAATATGAGCTGTGACTCAATAATGTACAAGTAAATATATATTTCTTTTAATGTATTTATGGTGATGAGTTACTTAGGCTGATTGACTGCGTATTTTCTTTTTCGCGTTCTTCCATATGAATTTGGTATTTCGTCAATTTCATATGATTCTTAGTCATGAAGTAAATAGCTGAGAAAAAAAAGAGCGACTTGTTTTTTCTTTGTCACATCTTCGTATAGGCAAAGTTCGTCATTCATAATACTGCAAAAAAACGCAACTATCTTCGTTTCATCTCATTGATATTGGCTGTGTTTTTATTGATTAGTGACTGAAGTTTATTCAGAGTTTCTTTTTTTTTCATAGTAATAATATAAAGAAATATTACTATTAAGTTTTATTGTTGACTTCACTAAAGAAATTTTGAAAACAATATTCTATTGTCATTGAAGAGAACAGAACAAGAATGAGATCAGCAGAAGCTTTACGGATGATACGACATTGATGTAAATAGAGTTAATTTTCATGATTAGTTTGTTTAAATGTTGAATTTCATGTTTGATAATTAAAACAGATAATGGAAGACCTTTAGACACTAAATCGACAACTTTCTATATTTGAATCGTTAAATTTTAAACTAAGTAACACTGAATATTTACTGTGTATGCATTAATTCAATATCATTCACAAAATTTGTTTTTTTTCTCTTGCCTTCATATACTCCACATGTGTTTTACTTGGTTGACAACAGGTAAAATTTCTCTAATGGCATCAAAAATAAAACTTAATAAGAGTATTTGTCTACATTGTCGACATGAAAAAAACTGTGAATAAATTCTTATTAGCAACTAAAAAATCAGTCTATATGAATTGAACTGAAGGAGACATCTGTCAATTTTTTTTTAATCATACGATTATTTATGATTCATTTTGCACATTAAAATTTCGCTAATTGGTCGCGTTACTTTCTTGCATGTATTATCATAATTTGCTTAAAAGTAACGATTAAACGATTAAAAAGCTTTGTTTTTGATTTTGATAATGAAATCATATAATGACTAATATTAATATTCTTTCTAATAAAGCTAAACAATACTATTGAGTAAGTTTTACCTTATTTTATCTTAAACACATATTAGTATAAAAACTTACGCGGAAAAGTCTCCAACTGTCGAGTCGCTTTTTGATCGAGTGAATATCCAAACGATAGACCTCAATGAGCGATTAAAAATCCTATTAGAGTTTGGTTTGTCAAGCCTTTTAAGCAGAAGTATATTATTAGTAATATTACTAGTTGTTTTGTACTACTGTATTAATATATTCGATATCTTGACTAAACATGCTTCGATTCAGCTCAAATTTATATCAGTATTAAGACATTCAGTACTAATTAAGATTCCAGAATTCGACGATAAATCAATGTTTCTTATAGCAGATATGAATTTGTTTGACATATCGATTGATTGCTCTCTCGAAGAGATGTTTTAAAATGTTCGTACTCTTGTGTGACTTATTTGTAATAATAGCAGAAACTATATATCGTGACTAAGTATATATATATATTCAGCACCACCATGTGATTCTCTACACTCTTTCCTTCACTTTACATATCATCCTTTTTTCAACCGCGTCAGTACACAATTACCTATCTTTGCAGATTCCGACCATTCACGATTCTATGCAAATGATTTATCCAAACAAAAAAAAGACTATTTCGGTCAGTAAAAATATGCATACAAGATATCAATATATTTATGAAAATTAAGTTTAGTATAGGGTGTGGGTGTGGGTCAGAAGTACAATAGGAATCACACCCACACCCATACCCTAGTTGATGCATCTCGTTCTGTAGTTTTGAAGACAAAAATAAGTTTTAATTCACTGTTGCCGAAGGAAATGGATGTGAGTATTCATCTAACGTACATTTACACATTACACACTCTTGAATATCTACATAGAATAACCCACGCCCATTGACACTATACGACACGGTCCTTCTTTGTGTGTATATAATGGATTATATTGCAATTCATTCTTCAAAATCAAGTAAAACAGAAGAGAATTCTCTTAACAACGTTAGTGTTTGGCAACTAAGAACAAGAACTGAGGTCAATGTTGAATTTCAGTACTCGATGATTAGCATAATTGGAAACATAAAGATTGCCCTGCTGATCGAATGACAAACCAACGGGTCTGTCGAGCTGTTTTGCTTGCGCTGCTTTACTGACAATGACAGTTCCCCGTGTGGCTCCTTTGATCCAACGCACGAGTCGATTGTTCCCGTAGTCCGCCACATAGACAGTGCCTAATTGATCCACGATGATACCCTGAGGACGCGACAGCTGCGTAAGACCATTGCCTTCACCTCGGCCACCAGCCACAATAATCCCTTCTTTGGCACCAACTACCCATTTCGTTACACGATGGTTATTTCTTTCGGACACATACACTGAATAATCTTCATCTACAAATATGTACTTAGGTGTATTGAGTTGATCGAGGCGATCACCTTGCCCATTGCCACCCGCCACAACTGTTCCCATGTTATCTTCGGATCGCCATCGCTTCACACTATGGTGTTCGACGTCAGATATGTAAAGAAACCCCCGATCATCCAGTGCCAAGCCCCAGCAATCAATATTTGAGATCATGACTTTGCTTTTTGTGCCAAATTCGCGAGGCCATTGCATCACTCGATTGTTCCAAGCATCGCAAATGATGAAACTATTACTCATTTTATCAACAATCACAACTGTTGGCCCGTTTAACTGATTCATCTGGCTATCATCTCCATTTCCGCCGGCCACTACTCGACCAAGTGTCGCACCACACTTCCATTCCATAATACGACTATTCCCCCAGTCAGCCACATATACCGTTAGTTCATCATCCACATATAAGTCAAGGGGTTTACAGAGTTGATTCAATCCACTACCTTGTTCATTGCCTCCAGCTACAATGATACCTTTCGACATCCATTTTGCATCAGGAGCAATGACAGTTCTGCGAAATGATGATGCTATAGCAAAACAGAATGAAAGCTTGATCCTGGATGTTCGATAAAAAGCAATCATTTCAATAAAATGATCATGCTTCGAAATAGACAACATTCTCCTAATTTTCTTGTAGGAATAACATATGTCATTATGGGCGCTATACGCACATGAAACTCAATTACATCGAGCACTTCAAATATTGAATCAAGTTGGATTGTCGCTAATGGTAATCAAATACGCTGAAAAATGCTGAAAACCTAATTTTTTGACACAATACATGAAGGCATGATTGATATTATGCAAATGCAGTCATGCAAGTAATAATGATTTCATAGGTATGGTGACACAGATGCCAGAGGGAAAAGTGATATTTCAGCTTCTTCAAGCTACTTCATCAACGTTCATAGGATAAACTCGACTAATTTTTAGCTAGATCTGTTCAGCTTGAATCCTACTTTTCATCTGAAACCATCCTGGTCTCATTCAACTTTAATTTATTTCGAAAAAACTCAAAATACTTCAATCTATTGTATTCTATGTCAATGCCGAAAGTCGATTGTTTTAGATGAAAAGTAGGTTCCAAGTCGCTCAGAACTCGTCCCTAACTAACATAATTTATCCTATCAACGTCCATTCAGTAATTTGAAGCAGAGCTGGAATCGATCGAAAATGCTTGAATCGAGCAGGATCGACTGATTAAAACTTTTAGCCGAACCCAACCGGCCGACTTGAGTTCGACGTGAACCGGCGAAAAACTGATGAGAACCAGCTAGGAAAACTAATGTAGGTCGTATGAAGTTTTAAAAAAACGTCCAAGCGAATTATTAAGAAATAAAATTTATCAGATCTTGTTAACGCAAAGGCAAAAGCCAATAGCCACGACTAGTGAATTTTCCTAACCATGTCCAGAGGACTAAACCCAGGAAATTATCGTTTCCGCCGTTACCAAATAGAAGACATTCTAATAATTAAGGTCAATCTTGAGCAAAATTTTACTCTGTATACTGACGAAAAAGCTAAATGTGCTATGCCGATGAAATCAGATATTGTAATTTTGCGGAATCTTAGCAATTAATAATCTGTAGATGAAACACTAGTGAACGAAGATAAAAACACAAACCCGATCACTGAGCAAGATATCCTTAGACCAAATCCAATACGATGATTTGTCATTCTTGTCAAGAGTAAATCTTCAAATCCCAAAATATCAGAAATCTGTTTAGCATCACAAATATCTGGATCGATCACTGAGGGATGCAGAATCTGCCAGAGTTTCTCACCGTACAAAAGTGGGAATAAAAATATAGTATTTTGTCACAATGTATCTTCAAATATGAAATCAGCATGACCTAAGAGAAAAACGAAAAATTTTTATTTCCGACAATTATTTTCAAGGACATTTCGATATTTAATGAATTTTCAAGTATTTTATACATCTGAGATCTTTCTTACATTCATCGTGATAATTTGAATTTCGATAATTTTTAAGGTTGCGTCTTTGGCGGAAGACATCTGCATCAATTGGTTCAAATATGACTTTTAATATTCTTAGAAATTGCTATCAAATTATTCGAATAATTTTGAAACTCATTTGATAGCTTCAGCTTCTGTCTGTGAATAACTTTAGAGTTTCAAGAAACCTCTCGAAAGATATTCTTATTATAGAAGTTTACGGTTAACAAAGGTCATGCAATACCTGATTAATCCGCACTTTCATCCATGCTCAAAAATGAATCACAACCATAGAGTTACTGTTTGTGTAGAATACGAATTTAGGACAAAGTGGAAAAAACTGAAATCAAGATCCTTAAAAAATCTTTTTGTTACATATAACATAGGATTCATGAGTATTTAGCTCACTTATTGAGGAGAACTATGTGGACTTACTTTTCGGAAAATTTAAACTTTTTCATTGTAGAACTCTTATTTCCTCTACTTATGACAGAAAAGCTCCTATTCAATAGTTTACTGAATTTTCCACTCGTCAACATTTCGCTTCCCCCTCAATTTTCCAAACCTTCCTCAAAAGAGTCATTTTTCACATTATCGCCGATGCAATCTGCGTGTATATTCTGTACCTCTGTGGTCATTGATAAGTGACATATTAAAATAAGATCATAATAAAGATTAACCAAACGGTAAATATTTGTGTATATATTTCATTCAACACAAGAGTTAAAGAAAATGCAAAAGCAATGAGAAGAAGTCGCTCTGGATTCCCCTTATTAAAACTTTCTATTTGACAATACAAGTCTGCTTAGCAAGAAAATATTTTCAATGGAGAAAATGAGTCTCAACTGTTCCTAAGACATTAGATCCGTCTACAAAAGAAGCTGCTACTGTTGCACATAATGCTATATAAAGCCTTTACAGCGATATTGTCACATTCAATCTCATGTAAAATTCAACAAGGAAGCGCTATATTTGTTAAGGCTCAAATGGTCAGTTAAAAACTTCAACTCAACCGAAGGGATGCGCCAGTCAACCGGCCAGTTAAGTTCCATCTTTAGGTTGAAGTATTTTGAATTAATATGCAGTAGCGTTTTTACCCCTTGCACAGACGATATCCCTGGTATCCTCACATATTTGTATAGTTTCAACAAATGTGCGTAGTTTTAGAGAAAAAATCAACTTTCTAGTTTATTAATTCGAAAGAATTTCAGACAGAACAACTAGTGTGACAATGATTTTTATTACTAACGACATAGTGAAGCATGGTAATAGCGTGCATATCTTTACTTTGTCAACCAACGGTGACTAAGAGCATAAAGTGAGGAGACTTCTTCGATTTCTGTAAAGGGAAAAATCGGCAAGCTATTACATTTTAAACAAAGTTCTAAATTCATTTCAATGTGGCACTAACTATGTTTTTGTTTTCTTTTATATAAAACACATGGATATTTTCATGTAATTTGGATGTTTATAGTCCCTGTCTATGAAGAAAGTTCGAAATATAAATGGGATTCATTGATGAATTTAGAGTTCTTTCTCCCGAGAGCAACTAATTTGCATTTATAATGCAATTCAAATGAGGAAGTGACTCTAACGAACTGACCTAGCATCGAAAGTGGTATTAACGTTGCCTTCAGCGAGGATTTTGATTGAGTTGTAGATGGTGATATATTTGATTGAGCTGTAGGTTTGAGTGATGAATTATTCGTCGATGTTTTGGTGATATCAAATGGTGGAGTTAGTAGGTCAAAGGGAGGTGCAATCTCTTGAAGATGGATGATATGGAGCCCTTCAGCAGGACTCATTTTGCTCATCACTTTCAAGTAGGTTCCAGGTGGCAGGAGAATTTCATCCTCATGCTGAAAGTATGAATGCGAACGAATGTGTTTTCCATTCGATGTTTCAATCGAAAAGAGTGTTCTGGTTCCTGACTTGCCCACGTACAACGGTGATTCGAGAACATTCAATGACATCGTACAAGAGCTGAATCCCCACCATACTTGTTCTTTGCCTTGCGGATATAAATCACTGAGATCTTTGGGTACTCCTCGCCATACTATTTGACGTTCAGTTAACCTGAATCGATACAACATTACTTGAAGTATGACATGCGAACAGATACTCACGGTAGTTTGAAGAACGCAGTGAGCAATAACTTCATATATTTATGCCATGGAACTAATTTCTGACGATCAGCTTCACGTAATCTTCGATTGAGTATTGCATAAAGACTTTTCTCAGTGACATCCCATTCCATAGTGTACAGATGGATTGCTGCCGATTCATCCTGTGTTAGACCATCTGGAGGTGATCCTGAATTTATTTTTGCAATCTGAATATTTTGCTCAAGTTCCTCATCGATAATATCCTTCAATGGTCGACATGCTTCTTCAAGAGAAACCAATGGTTCCTTAGCGTATTGAGAAATCGGTTTCAGCATTTGTCCTGATTCATCTTGAATGTTGGCCAATAAACGAGGATTTATTCGATTAGATGTGGCCATATCTGGTGTCCACACAATTTGTCGTCGTTTTTATCGATCACAATAGACTATACTTATATCTAAAACAAATAATGCGTGTTACTCTTCAGTTTTTGCCAATACAGGACAGAAAGATGGCATGCATTTTTATGGTAATATTGCTTTGTTTTGTATCGAATTTGATGAGCAATAATGAATGCATGCGAAAAAGTTCTGAACAATGCGACTTAGAAATTATACTATTCGTAAGGCATATCACGTTCTAGCCGAATGACATTATTCGAACCTTTTACTTCCAGCTAGGCCAGAATTCTAATATTAGGCCAAATTACTTGAACGTACTCCGTACTTTGTATGCAGATTGTAGAATATTCCATTACAGTTTTGACTCGTACTTTCATGCCCTCTTCCACTGTTAAAGCTGTTCTCTACAAAAAAAACATCCAATGCATATACCTCGAATAGAAACCGATATGAAAATACTCGAAACAGGAAGCTCGTATTCATAATTTTAACTTATTTGCCTTCTCTCTTTTGTGCCTGACTGATATTATTTTGGTTCATTTGTATTATATTAATGGGTGAGTGAGGCATTATGATTTGAAAAGTATTATGCCAGGTTAGTTTTCAATTCTTGCCTAACTTCTTATGTGATATAGCTCGAGTTAGAAAGTTCGAAAAGAGTGGAGGAGTAATAGTGCTTCTTTGGAACCATTTCAGCTTGTTCCACAAAACAATATGCAAACAATATCACTTTCTAGTGCTTGTGCTGATGAGTCTACTGATGTATGAATGTTGGCTAATCATCTGAGTTTTGATGATCTTCTCTCCCTTTCAATTTTGTGCAATATCCTAATATTTCTTCTTGAGACGAGCCATGAAAACAAAGGTTCCACTTCTAAAATCGAGTTAGACACCAATGAGCTTATTCATTGTGTTGCGACTAGAGATTAAGATTTGATAAATTTCTAAAACAAATCTTTATATTTATTATCTTTTTCTTCGAGCCAAAACATGAGCGAATCACGTGAGCTTGACTCAGCCGTATGTATGTGTCTTAATTTATCCTCGATTAAAACAAGTTCGTTAGAATCTTCTGGTTTTCCAACATTTAAATGAACTTCTATTCGGCAAACTATACATTTTCCGATGAATTGAGAATAGGTAGTCTTGATCAGTCAAACTACGATGTTGAAATAGGATGCAACATCGTCTCATTGCATGAATGAATCGAAAATGTTCAGAGATATGATCAGAGTGATGAAGGTTAATGGAAAATAAGCTGTGAGTGCATAGCTATGTTAAATCAACTCGAAATAAATTCCCTATTTGGATAGAGTACATGAAGTTGTACCATAGAAACATGTCGTTAAGAAAACTCGAAGTTACTTTGCAGACAAGAATATGGCTGAACGTTGATCACTGTGCTCTATCTTTGACAAAAAGTGCACTTTCAAAGAAATTCGAAGCTGCTAAAGTCGAGAAGTCTAAAGAAAGAAACTTCTTTCGGGTAGTGAAGAATCAACCGTCTTCAAATATGCATAACACATTTACAGCATGGAGTATCCTTACAATGATGAAAAACCATTATATATTTCCAGTCTTTAGCCGACGTGATGTAAGCTGTTCAGCATAGTAAATGGATGCCAGTCTTATTCTAGTTCGCAAAGTAACTTCGAATTTTCTTAACGACGTGTTTCTAGGGTACAACTCGATGTATTCTATTTAAATAAGAAACTTATCTCTGATTGATTTAACATATCGGTTCTCAATTTATGGAAAAGTGGGTATATTGTTGAATAGAAGCCTATTTAAACTTCCGAAAACCAGAAAATTCTAGGCTGAAATGGGCTATGATATAGGAAAAGTCTTTGCAACGTGAGTTTGACTGATAACTTGGATTCCAATAAACCCTCTTCAATCGAGAATAAGTTAAGACGGTATATTTCTTGTTACTAGAGTGTGGATGTGAGGTGCGGGTTGTGGTGGATAACAATAACACCCACACATGCGTCTCCCGAGAAGGCTATGTGAATATTCTTCGATTTTATTTAGGAACGACATCTTTAGTGAATAAATATATATCGATTCAATACAGCATGCAAAATCTCGTCGTATATATATCTCACTCACTTTATACTGATTCCGTAAATTGAGATGAATACTTCGCAATCTGGTCATGCATTTTGAATGTATTTTAAAAAATGCTGTTAGTAAGAGAATTCGTAAGATCATATGTGGTTGATAGATAGCGATTATTTTTGGCAAAAAAAGAGCATCGACGCACATCGGAACAAGATCTTACAATAGGCTCGACAGTTACTTCCACAATCACCAACTTGAGATTTCTGTAGCCTTCGATAGGTAGAAGTAGTCAACATGGGTCTTCGCCAATGTCAAGAAAACGATTAAAAATCGGAATATATTTGACTTTGGCTACCTTACATTTTATGTGTAATAGACGGAGTGACTATTTCAGAGAGTTCGAATGCATATTTCTTTCTCTCATTCAAGCAATGAAAAAAA